CGCTAAAATCGAAAGATCAACTTGTAATTTCATTCTCAGACCGCATGGAAGAAAATTTCTGCCATCGCGGTATAAAGCAACAACGGAAAATCCGAAGCAAAATATCTCATTCTTTATTGTTTTATTCTGCCAGCCATCAACTGAAACTTTCAAGCAGTTGTCACAAACCTGACATTTACTACTTGGAAGATGACGGGCTGATGCAGATCATATAAATTAGTCATCAGGGAACGTTGCGAAAGATATATGAACCCTTTTGCGAGACAGAATTGAATGTCAACTAACGGAGTACATTCGTATGATCATTTTGTTCCACAAATCATTGCCTCGTAAGGTAGGCAGTGATTCCTCAATTTTGTTGACTAAAATTTTAAAATAAACGACTTAATCGCGTATAGCGTTTTTGATGGAAGTAGCTTCGGAATTAATCTTTATGCTTGTTAGCCTGACTATCCATATATTTAAATAACTGTGATTGCTTGAAATTAATTGGTCACAAAACGTACGTGCTGACAACTGAATTAAGAATACAACAGCTTATTTATTCGATAGTACTCTTTAAATGAATGCATATGACAACATAAACGATTGCGAACGGAAAGATCTGCTTAACATGGTACCAACATTGGGTCGTCGCATGCAAGGATGCATTCTGATCATGAACCACTAAAGCTTGAATGATAATTTCAATGCAACCTATTTCTCTGAATCCGGGCTACCGACATATTTAATTTGGAGGTAATACATACTAATGGTGAAGAACTCTTTTGACATGGGAATAATCAAAAGATATTTTAATTCCTCAGTCTGTTAACACTACGTTCTGAACTTTGATTCACATGATCAAGTAAATCTAGAGCATAAGCATTTTCGATCCAATGGATTAAGACATTAAATTAAGCCGCAGTATAACGCATTATGTGAGATATAGCCATTGAAATGACGGAAAAAATGCAATGTTTCATACATTTTTAAAAGATAAGCAACGTCTGTCGACGAGGTCGGCTTTCAGCAGAGATCTATAAATTACATCAGTTACATCACGTTTAACTTCTAAACATTAAGGCAGACTGGCTTTGTTTGTGCTGAATGTCACCATGTTCTCCGGTGAATGTAAAACGCCAATTTTCGCGATTTTATGCGCACATGCATAACAAGTACAACGTTTGTCGGCTCCACACGTTGCCAGCTTTCGTACGACCAGCATATGCTTGGTTCAATTTTGAGAGATACAAGGAACGCAGGTATCGCACTGAAGCGGAATGTATTATCAATTTTTTGTCCCAAATACAGACCTGTGGTCAATAATTGATTCGCTAAACAAATACCCAACCGCTGTGAGATTATCTATTGTCGATAGTTGCAACAAAACGTGTCAGTAATAATACTTCGTTCACATAACCTCAGCACCAATGTCGATAACAACGCGGTGCATGCTATTTCACTCGCTACATTCAACTTCCAATTTAACTCGCACACAGATTACTGCTTGCACAAAGGTTCAGCAGTCAAGTAGATTAATGCTGGTTTTAGTCATATTACGCATAACGTATGGCCCGATCTTACGCTTTTACAGTTTGACTAGATGCGCATAAATCTTTGCTTCTTTTCAAACTCTCCCTGAATAGATATATCAATTTTTTGATGCAATTAGAACTTTATACGTTCATCCATCGATTTCATCAAATTAAGATAATCATGCAGCAGTTTTCAAAGACATTTACACATTATTTATTTAAACATTTATTTAGTTGTAAACGTGTTGCTCCATAAGACTCCGACAACAACAAAAAAAACAAGCCGTAGCAACTAATTTACGTTAATTAGACCAGGTCAAGCCATGTCACAGTTCTACCATAAAATTTTTCTACATTCTGTTCTTAAAGTAAAGTGAGAACGCTGATAGATGAGAACGTTTCTCCAAAAAAAAACACGACATCAGTCAAGGAATTTATAAAGTAAAATACGAAACAAGCAAAAACAAGCTAAAATAATAAAACGGTAGCTGAGTATCAAAAGCTGTAAAACAATAGAAACAAAAATTCATTCAGAAATCATTTAAGTTCAATCTAAACATAAGATGGTTGTCCCTGAACCCTCAAGTTGAAAAGAAAAGCGAGATCGCTAAACGACAATTTGTTTGCCGTCATCCGTCCACCGACCCTAAAAGATCAGTTTGCAGATGTCGGTGACAAAAAACCATTCTATTACTTACCCACTCAAAACGCTCTCCGCTAAGTGAAGCTTCTGCTTCTGCAATTCTAAAACTTTCGTCTCGATAGTGTTTTCACAGACGAACCTTAACATTAAAAACAGAACATAATATCACATTAAGCAACGATTACTTGTGAATAAAAACATCTCTGCTTTGACCCACTCGATAAATCCTATCACAAGCCTGTGATTCCAGAGCAGGGTTCCTAAACGTCAAAACGCGTCAAAACTACTTTATAGATTAAGTAAAGACCTTCGACCTTCGTCATTTTTGCTAGCAGTTTTATAAAATTAGCTGAAGATGTAAATATGAGAAAATTAATTAGTTATTGTTATTAAAAACATCATCAACAGCGCAACGGTGTAAGCACACTAAATCTTCCACCCCTCAGTCACTGCTAACAAATTTAAAGTTAAATGCGTGATCATATATCAAATTAATTAGAAAGTTAATAATTAAAAAACTTCTGGTTAAATATATGAATGAAACCAGCTGAAACAAAATTTCTCAATTTCTTATGAAACCAACTATCAAAAACCTACTTTATAACATTTACTTTTATACCTGGTATTCTTACGATAATTTACAAAGTATAAACTGATTATATTTAATGCTTTATACATGTAATGACGCCTCTCCATTCCAATCATGGCTATGAATGTTGAACAATGACCGAAGAAATTTCATCACAGATACATGGAGGAAAAAGTGATATGGTGTTGAGGCCCGAAAACCTCCAACAAACTATTTTTCATACTTTGACTCATATGTGGCTTATGATATTCCGAAGTTTAAAGCTGCGATTGCACAGATGCTGGGTAGAAGTCTACGAACGAGGAACCACTTTGCTAGTCACGCACAATGAGAAATGTTGGAGGAGTCATGCACCTGTTAACATGTTCCTACTTTGAGGTTGATATTGTAGCCTAAAGGAGTATCAAGCTGTGAAACAGAAATGCTCCAATGAGCAACTACACCAAAAAATCTATTCATGGAGGAGTTAAGTGCCAAATAATGGCACTGTTAAAGGTAACTCCATACAGTCAGATTCAACAACAGTGTAGGTTCCATTTCTTTACGCCTACATTTCTAACAGAGGTGAATATGGATGGTATAGAACCTGCAAATTATGCTGGCTATTTGTTTGTCATCGTCATTTGAGACTAACAGAGCATAAACAGAAAAGTAACCAAGCTTTTTGTCTGACCGATGGAAACGGTACTTATTTATCTACGACTGACAGTTTGACACTTATTTTTCAGCCCAGCATTACAGTGACTGAGTTACCTTTGCTACAACAGCGTTTTTACAATAACGATTTCTGAAACACTTTGTGATCTTGCCAGCAAAAGTAGATTTGTGTTCTTGCCTCGAACCTGTTGAGTTTACTTTAGAAGTTCCCAGTTACAATTCATTTAGCTACGTGACTCAAATTTACAACAAATAAAACTCGTAAAAATATCCTACGTGCAGAACATCACTTACCAATGTAAATCTAATATAAAAAGATGATTTCCGCCAACCAAGTTCAGACCAACGCCTCCTGCGCCCAAAGATAAGAGCATAACCTGAAACGGAAGAAAGGTGTGAATTGTAAAAAATAAAATTACTCAATTGAATACTGACCAGCGGTTCGCGTCCAACTTCGTTGAATCTGTTCACCCTTTCAAGGCGAGCTTCGGGAGTCACTCCGCCGGTGATGGAAGTATAAGTAACTCCCTCATGTTTCAGATGACACGCGATAATATCCAGCAGTTTGACCCACTGGCTAACAATGACGCTAAAAAAGTAGACAGAAGTGACACAATATGGCAAGAACTGCGAATAGAAAAACTGCAAAATAGAAAATAACCATTCAAGTCTTCTTTTTCAATGAACTGTACTGGTTTTAGTCTTGGCATTATTACTATGATAGTGTGAGCCATCTATTCAACACTAAAACTACTAATTTAAGCATCCGTTTAAGGCCTCAGTCTCCAAACAACGGGCAGGTAATGCGTCGAAAGCAAAAATTCGTTTAGAAGGCACGTTTTATTTATTAGATTAAATTTTACATGTAAAAAAGACATTAAAACTAATGATACCGGATTTCAACTACATTGCAAAGAAAAAAATGAACTTCTTAATTGACATCGATACTGCGATAGTGCAAGACAGATGGAAATCTTTCACCTGGTGCTATCACAATATTGCACCGGCCCTTGCTTGTAGTAGCCTAGGGGGACCATTTATGCAGGTCAAACTTAGACGGTATTTAAACGTTTGCAGTGCATAGGACTCAGGGCCGCATCTCTTCATCGGGTTGAATAAAGGAAGGTTCAATCCCAAACACCACAATCCATAGGCGAATATATACAAAAATCCGGTATTATCAATTTTAATATCACATACTGGCAGCGGGTTCGAAAGCTTCTCTCACAGAAACTACCCCAGAATATCGGGGTCATGCTTTCCTTTATAAAACAGAGATAGTTTTTAACACTTATTTGTTTTAAGACAACAGTCAACATCAAACAAAACGCGTAACGCAATAGTGAACGTGTTTAATTTGAAGACATGAATGCAATAGATAACGATTTGTCATGAAATGAAAGTAGTAAACATTTTTTAGATTAAATATAAATTTTCTCCAAATA